TCAAAAAGCCGGAGACTGAGAGCTAGCAGCAGCAGGCGCCAGCCCAGGGACAGCCGCAGGCATTCTGATAGCCGAGGTGACCAGCGAGGCAGCCTGCCTCGCCGGGATGACCGTCAAGGCAGCCGACTTCGCTCCAGGTCCAAGTCGGAGTGGGGTTGGCGCGATGATAGCCGGGACAACCCACGTGGCAGCCCACGTCACTCCAGCTCCAGCCAGTGGCCTCCACTGCGGCAGCCCCCAAGCCCGCCGCCACCTCGTCGTGATCATGAGTGGAACATGCAGAGGCGCGGCGTTCAATGCGATATTTGTGGCACTGTGATTAAAGGCACCGGCCATCCCAATGGGGACGCCGCTGCCCTGAAAGCTCACAGGAAGACATCTTCGAAGTGTTTGGCGAAGACTGGCCACGGCCCGCTGAAGCAACGTTGTCCGTGGGGCTGTGGAAAACTCATCGCCGGTTACGACGCCTGGGCGGAGGAACAACACAGTTGGCACTGCACCGAGAAAAAGAAATGGCGTTGGCGCCAGGGCTGGTAGATGTACAGCTGCAAGAGGCGCTGTGTGACCGTGGGCACAGCTACCTCTATCTGACTCTCTTTTTCCATCTGCAGCAGCCACCTCAGACAGTGAGGCGCTGCTGCTGGCACCATGGCCAGGGGCGGCACGGCTTTCAACACCGGCATCATCCCGCATTCCATGGTAAAAAAGGCGCGTGTGGCTCGCTGCCATGTGGGATTGTTAGACTGATAAGCTGTCCGATTGTGGTTGCAATGTTTTCCGCAGTAATTTCACATTCATGTTCGTAGCGGCCAGATCACAGACAAATCCCTTTTCTAAGTACAGGTCATTGACGACATAATTTTCCCATCAAGCATGTTATATAATTACAACAAGTTTTTACGGGCGGCCAGACAGTCGCCCATGTCATGGAAGCAGCCGACGCCGACAGCGATGTGGAGACCTTACCTAGTGATGTGAGTTCTGAAGTCGACTTGCCCCCTGCTGTGGAACCGGACGAGTCACTGCCTACCATCATTGATGGCGGCAGCGCCAGTGATCAGTGTTGCAACCAAGGATGTTTGGAAGCTTTGGCGGAATCACGGTCATTGTCTCGACGCGTGCTTGAATTGCGGCAATCTTTGGAGCAAGGCACACAGCACCAGAAAGAGACTTTGCAGTTTCATTGTCTGAAGGATTGGGGAAAAGGAGGCAAGGGGTGGCGAAGGTACAAAGCTTGGGGCATGAGCCTTTGCCAGACTGCGGTGCAGAATGTGCTGGGCCTCACTATGCACAAGATGAAAAAGCTCAACAAGCAAATTGAGCAGGGCCTGCTGCAGCCAGAACGATCGTTGCAGGCGACCCAAAATCAACGACAGGATCGCCCCGGCTCCCAAAAGGCGGAGACCTGTTTGTCTTGGCTCTATCACAATGTTGCAGAGGACCTGGCTGAAAGTGTGCGGCTCGGCGATGAAGGTCAGCCATCTTCAGCTACCGCCCGCTCTTTGCCTCAAGTATCGACAATTTCTTTTTTAGACAATTTGGAAGATGAAGAGAAAGGCGTGCGCTGGATGCCCCCAGGCACTACCTTGGCAGAGATGCTGGATTGCGCAATAACTTTTTTGCCACACTGCAAGCATTCTTATTCCACTTTCGTCACCCACTATCACTTGCAATGGGCCAAGCGATTGAAAATCAGAGCTGAGGGTCATCACTCGAAGTGCACAGCGTGCGAGAAATTCAAAGCGTACCGAAAACAGGTGACCGCGCCCTCTGACTGCAAGCGCGTGGCAGAGGAGTACACAAGCCATCTGAAAGATGTGCTCAAGGACCGCGAGACAGACAGACACTTGTGTGTCACTGCGCAGATCACATGCGGCACTGTTCCTGGTGTAGCGCCGCTGGGGGCCCGGCTCTCTCCGCAGTATCCAGAGACTGCAGAAGGGGCTGCGGCGCGCGTGGTCGCCGCTGGGGGCCCGGCTCTCTCCGCAGTGTCCAGAGACTGCAGAAGGGGCTGCGGCGCGCGTGGTCGCCGCTGGGGTGTCAGAGGAATCTTCGCTGCTATCCATCAGCATTGACGCGATGGACGCAGCAAAGTTCCGATGCCCACGAAACATTGGGGCAGCGAAAGAGTTCCAGAACTTGTGGCGCCCAGAGCTGACAATGGTCGGAGCCATCACAGAGGGTTTGCACGAGTTGTACTTCGTGTGCGATCCCGATCTTTCCAAGAATGCCGACTTGCACTGCACGATAGTCGGACATTGCATTGAGAGGGCTCATGAAGCATTTCAGGCGCGAGGACGACCATTCCCTCGCCACCTGAGACTGCAGACAGATAATGCTACCGCTGAAGGAAAGAATGCCACCGTCTTTTGCCTCGCATCTTTTCTCGCGCAGCGGCGCATGTTTTCATCTGTAACATGCAGCCAGTTCCGTGTTGGACATACGCATTCAAAGATAGACCAGAGGTTTTCAGAGGTTCGCAACACGTTGTCCCAGTGCAATCAGCTGGAGGACCCTGACAGCTTCTGCGCTGCTATCCAGACTGGCGTGAACCCCCGCGAAAAAAGGGAGTTGGTGGTGGAACGTGTCAGAGCGGCGGCTAATTTCAAAGAATTTTTCCAGCAGTTGGAAATAAAGGTGTCTGGACATACACAAACAAAGAAAAAGACAGAGAGAAACGAGGAAGCCGTCCACTGCTTCTCATTCGAAAGGCGAGACGAAAGGCCAGAGGATGATGAAGCGGATGATTTGGCCCCT